ATGGTCCCTTCTGACCTTAAAGTCTATGAGTCTATGATACGTTTAACTGGTTCTGGGTGGCACGTTGACACCTGGCAAAGGGCTGGAATGAAATACAGACTAGTTTTAATCATGCCCTTCACAAAGTGGTTTTCACCAAGACTCAGTGATTAGCTGGGCCTCTGGCAGGGCCGGCTCCAGGCACCAGCTTGTCAAGCAGGTGCTTGGGGCAGCCGCTCCGGAGAGGGGCGGCACGGTCCAGGTATTCGGCGGCAATTCGGCGGACGGTCCCTCACTCCGCCTGGGAGCGAAGGACCTCCCGCCGAATTGCCGCCGCAGATCGCAATCGCGGCTTTTGTTTTGTTTTGTTTTGTTTTGGCTGCTTGGGGCGGCCAAAACCCTGGAGCCGGCCCTGGCCCCTGGCATGATCAGCAAAGAACTCACCAGGTTTTGGAATGAGGGTGACCCAGCCAGACCTCCCTGCACCCCTATTTGACATGACCCAGGTGCGCCCCTCCGATGTCCCATGGGACGGGACGGGACTAGCACCAATTTACACAGCGCCCACAAAGAGCATGAGACAGATAGGCCAGCTTTTCCCCTGCCCCGAGGTCTAGGCTGGGTTGTGGTGGCCGGATTATTTTTTTGGTGGGGAGTCTATAGTAATGCCCCCCCACACACACTCCCACCCCAGCCAGCTCTGGAAGGTTCCGGGTTGCATCAGGGGGAGGTGCCCTGGTCACATCTGGCCTCCAAGCTCTTCCCCCGGCTGCAATGTCACTGGGAGCCGTAAGCAGCGGGGAGGAGGCGCTGCAGCCCCAGTAACAGCGGCGGGGGCCGGAGCAGTCAAAGCCGCGGGCAGGAGAACAGCCGCCCGGGTCTGCAGCCGAGTCGGTGCGCCGGAGCCGGAGGGGCCGAGCGGGACACCCGAGGGGCTGGTGCAGGGGACCCCAGAGGCGGGCGGAGGACGCAGCATGGCCCCGCTCGGCGGCGGCAGCAGCAGCAGCCCGGCTCCTGCCTCTGCGCCTCTCCGCGCGTAAGGGGCCCCGTCTCGCCAGGTGCGCCGGAGAGAGGCGCAGGCAGGGAGCGCGCCAGCCGCACAGCCCCGCACCGCCCCGGGGCCGGGGAGCTGCGGCCACTTGTTCATCCCGCCGGGGTCCCTCGGCCCTGCGCCTCCAGCTGCGGCGCTCCGGGCTCGGCGCCCGGGCACCGAGGTTGCCCCCGGGGAGCTCCCGCTGCGCGCGGCTGGAAGGGCCCCAGCCATGGCCAAGGACCCGCTGAAGCCCCGGCTCTGCCACATGATCAAGGGGGAGACCGGCTACGGCTTCCACCTGCACGGCGAGAAGGGCAAGAGCGGCCAGTTCATCCGCAAAGTGGAGCCCGGCTCCCCGGCCGAGGCGGCGGCGCTGCGCGCTGGGGACCGGGTGGTGGAGGTGAACGGGGTGAACGTGGAGAAGGAGACGCACCACCAGGTCTGCAGGGGAACTCCCGCCAGGGGTCTGTCGGTGTGGGGCGGGGGGCCGTGGACAGTCGGTCAGTCTGGGGCGGGGATGGTGGGTGGGTGCGTGGGCAGGGGGTTCCTGTGGACGGTCTGGGTGGGTGGGTGCTGGGGCAGGGGGGTGCCCGTGGATGGTCGGTCTGTCTGTGGGAATTGGGGATGGTCTTTTTGTCCGTGGGTGGGGTGCTGGGGTAAGGAGCTGCCCATGGAAGAGATGGTCTGTCGGTGGGTGCTGGGGTAAGGGGCTGCCCATGGACAGATGGTCTGTCGGTGGGTGCTGGGGCAGGGTCTAACTCATATTGGATCCCTCTGTCTGTCTGACCGGAGAGCTGGAGCGAGAGGTACCGCCAGGTGACAGCTAATCTGGGGCTGAGCAGCCCAGCTGTTTGCTAGTGGGTTTCAGCTGGAGGTTGGGCGTGGGGAAGCCAGAGTGACATGGAAAGTTTTTGTTAATAATTCTTAGCACCTGCTTTTCATCTGCTGTGTCTGTGTCGCCTGCTGGTGGAATGAGGTGCCCTGATGTTGGGTCATTAACTTGTTTCCTGTAATTCCTATGGTTCACATGCCCCCTGCCGCCCCCACTTTTTATGTATTAATATTCAGAGAGGTTAAAGTCGGGAAAGTCCTATCAAGTCGCATCTAACCCACCCCCTGCTGGTGCAGGATTGTTCCCTACATTATATTTCCTAATGCTGTGTCCAGTCTAGCAACAAGGCTTTTTATTTAGCTGTAAAACGCAGAGCCCTACACTAGCAGCTTTGAATTGGGTTGCCCAGGTGTTGTTTTTCTTCTGGGGATCTGTCCGTGTCCGGTTTGGTCACTAAAACTGCTTGTGAATTTATGATAAGACTCTGAGTAGCTTTCCCATTCTCCGCTGGATTTCCCAGGCGAGTTTCCAAGTGAAGCTAGCGTGAGGGAAAGTGTCTCTCTTTGGGTGATGGTTCCTGTACGACAAGGTGGATAGAGTAATTCACACGGAGATAAGCAGTTTATTGGGGGTAAGATCCCTGTTGGGACGGGGACCAGAACTCTAACCCTGCCGAGTCTTTTCTTGACTCTTCAAATGGAGCACGGAGCCTGCTACATAGGCCTGAAACCTCCTTACTTTACCCGGCTCCTTGGAAAGTGTCTTCAGGAATGAGCTAAAGTTGGGGGGCGGGCGGAGAAGCTAGGAGGGTGATCCTCCCTCTGAATGTTTGTTTAAAAGCTTCCCTTTGCCAAATGACCAGCAGTAGATAATACAGTAAAATAGGTTCCCACACAGTTCTAGGTTTGCTCTACACAGCAACATTATCTTACCAGGTTGGAGCACCCAGTGTACCCTCGTAAGTTTCAGCGAGGACAGCGTGTTATAGCATGGTTGGTCTTGTCTGTATGGACAACATCTAACTGCGCAATAATCATGTTATGTCCCTGCCAAGACCAGGCAAGGTAGGAAAGAGCAAAGGGTGTTGTGACATGGTCAGGGCATTGCTGTGACATCGTCAGACACTGAGTTGTAGGTGAACAGGTTCCAGCAGAAAGTAGCTTCTGAGGCTAGGACATGAAGCAATAGACTTAAATTGCAGCAAGGGAGGTTTAGGTTGGACATTAGGAAAAACTTCCTGTCCAAGTAGCTGAGCACTGGAATAATTTATCCAGGGATGTTGTGGAATCTCCGTCATTGGAGGTTTTTAAGAGGAGGTTAGGCAAGCGCCTGTCAGGGATGGTCTTAATACTGCCTCCTGCCATGAGTGCAGGAGACTGGACTAGAAGACCTCTCCAGGTCCCTTCCAGTCCTATGATTCTGTGATTCTGAGCATGGTACTGGGAATCAGGTGACCTGGGTTCTATTTCTGACTCTGCCAGTGACTCACTTTTTGACCATGGGCAAGCCACTTCTCCTTGCTGCACTTCTCTTACTCCCTATGCAGTCAGTAATGCTTACTGACCTGTGTAAAGTGCCTCGGCATCTACTGATGCAAAGACTGTGCAGATGCTCACAATAATTACTATTCTCACATAATTTATACTTGCATTCACTCCAATTTACTTTGGAAAAAGAATGGCCAGAAACAAGCAGCTTCTAGCTTGAATTGGAGATCTCTTTGCTTTTCAAGAGCCTGGTGCTTTCGAGTCCCATTTGGGCCGTTCTTTTGTCTATCTGTCTAGTTTTCAGGGCACTGCAGGGTTGAATATTTTAGTAGCTTAGAGCATATGGCAGGCGCCTCCTGTAATAATTTCTACGGGCAGCCTGGTGATCTGTCGTCTGCATGCTTCATGGACCCAACAGCACTTTGGAAGTAGTGGGTCTCAGTTTTTAGTTGCCGACAGTGAGTCCTAAAGATATGGAATGACTGACTGATTTGCTGAGAGATACAGAGCCATCCCCAGTAGTGGTGCAAGCAGTGGTAACGCCATTAAAGTGCTATGTAACTGACACCCCGCCAGGACATGGCTTTTATTGTTTAGTCGTTAATTAAGCCAATGCTGTGGACCTGAGCACCCTCTGCAGAAGTTAACACTTGTCCCTCCAGTTATATTTGGAATGGAGTCAGGGTACGTCTATCGCTCTGTTCTAATTGCTGGGTGGATGAGGGTGTTCTTATTACATACAGAGCGGTGTTTCACGCCAGAAAATCGTCAAGACTTTGTATACTAAAATCTGATGTGATGGTGAAGGCTGATTCAACATTGCTGAGGCATCAATTTCATGTATGAAATGTGTGGGCTTTTTGGTTGGGTAGGTCAAGTGAAACTAGAGACAGTTCATCCTCTCCATGTTTTCTTCTAAGCAAGGCATAATTAACCTCTGGAACTCACTGCTACAGGGTATTACTAACGCAGATAGCTTAGTATGTTCCAAGAACGATTCAACATTTATATGAACCGAGTTAGCATCTGCAGTCACATTAGCTGGGATGACGTTACGCAGGGCTGGGCTGCCAATCCTCGTGCTTCAAAACAATACGCTGGTAATTTTCTGGTGGTCAGGGGAAAACTTCCTCCATGACAATGTGCTGAAAAAGTATGTACATTGTGGGAATGTTACACCATATGTGTCGGACATTAGCTTCTGTTGATGACAGGATATTGGACTCGGTGAACGGTTGGTCTGATCCTGCTGGGCTTTTCCTGTTCTCTTAGGGACATCAGCCTTGGAGCTAATAACCGGTTTACGCCTACATCTGAAACAGCCAGGAGCAAAGAGCCTTTTGCAGAGGAGGGGTCCCGTTCCCCTGTTTGTTTATAATTTTGTTGCAAGCTCAGGAAGCCGAAGCTGATGACATTTGATTGTATTTATTTGTTCCTTCATTGTTTTTCTAACTGTAGATTAAAGCAAGCAGAAAGCGCAAACAGAGGAAATAGATTCAAGGTGCTTTGCTCCTGTCTTCATTGCAGAATTGCAGCCTGCTTCCCAGTGTTTGTGGGACGGGCAACTTAACATGTGCTCGCCCTGCTGTGTTGACTAACACAGGTTGAAGTCCTAGTGTAGACAAGGCAAGTTGTGGTTGTAACACCTGATAATTGGTTAACTCTAGGTGTCCTCTTGCCCCCGCCCCTCTTAACTAACACCGCCCATGCTAATATGGGCAGAGAGAGGAACCTCCTAGATCAGAGGTACTCAGTTATTGTTTGTCAAGGTCCAGATTTCTTGGTCAAGATCCAGACGCCAGAGAAACATTTTTCACACCACAATAACAATAACGATAATAATAATAAGTAAATAAATGAACAGATTTTGCGGTCCGTTCCAAAGCGTCCGGCAGTCCAGATTTGGCCCATCATCCGCCTATTGACTCCCCCTTTCCTCGGTGTTTAGATCCCAGGTTGAGGTTGCAGTGGTGTCAGCTGGAATAGCCTCGTTTGAGTTGTAAACTGAGGAATCATTGAAAAAGGGACATACTGGCACGGTGCAATGTCATTTTAACAGAGCCAGTTTCGAGCTGCCCTTCTGCAACGAGGGTTAAGTGTGGGGGAGGTCACCGTGGCAAACATTACCATTGGAGCCCTGGTGAGCCTGCATCACTACCCCTCCTTGTGAGCCTTTCCAGCCTTTCTGTTCATTGCAGTGGCACTTCAAGATGTTAATGAAGGTTGCATAATTACACAGCTGCATAAGGCAAGTCTGTTTGTTAGGCCTTCTAGAAGGCACGTGCATAGACTGCAGACATGGAGCGATTGCTTTCAGTCCTCACGCTGCTAGCCCATCGTTCTTGAGGGTGGGTAATAGGGGTGGCTGCCTGTGAATGTTGTCCTTGACACCAGGAACAGCTGTTTGGCTGGGAACGTAATGTTGAGCAGAAGTGAGAAGATGTTCGTTTTCCTGATTTTTCATGTGCTCTCTAATTATATCGATTCTGAGGCAGACGTGAGGTCTGTGAGGTGGTTGAATCCTCTCCCTGAGGAAGGGGTGAGAGCCCCGTTGCTTGAGATGTTTGCTAGACTGTGCAAAATTATAGAAACTGTGTTATGGGGAACAATCCCAACTGGGTCTCGGGGAGAGAAACTAGCAGAACTAATAGGTCACTTACACCTCTAACATCTGTAATCTGTTGCTCTTGACCACACTCATGTGAGGTAGGTAACTATTATAACCCTAGTTTTACAGATAAGGGAACGGGAGTGCAGTGCTTTGCCCAAGTCCCCCTAGACAGTCAGTGTCAGAGCCTAGATTAGAAACCAGAGCACTTGGATTGTAGTCCCCTGTTGTCTGCTAGGCCAGTGTATAGCTTTCTTTTGGAAGTGGTTGTCTGGTGGAGCTCAGATTTTCAAGGTGAAAGGCCCGGTGGGACAGAGTGGCTCTTGAGGTTTTGAAGGTCACGTGGAATCTTTCATCACAAGGTCCTTGGTTCCCGTCTAGTCCAGGTTGGGAGTGAGTGGAAGTGGCTTCCCAGGTAATGGTGGTTTAGTGACACTCACTGAGCTGTGGTCTCAGGGTATGTCTACATTATGAAGACTGTAGCATAGACGCAGCCTACACTGACAGATGGG